TTTCGAGATAAGCTACAAGAATATGCAATAAAAAATGGGGAGTTCCATTTAAGAAAATATCGATCACATTAACTTGGCCTTGAAAATGTCACTCAAGGTCAAGTCCATATTTTTATCATGTGTCCCCCTCTGAACCCTACAACTTTTGTATAAAACATTTTTTTCCATCTTGCTTACTTTACGAGATATTTGCGTGCGTTGATAGAAATTTATATATATATATATATGCACATCATGACAAAATCAAAAGAGACAATATGAGCAATATTATATTATTGTGTTCAAAATATGTATGCGACACAAACATCTGTGCTCTAAAATTGCTTGTACGAGATAGAGAAGTAGAAATACAACATTTTTTCTGTCTCCACATATTTAACACAACGCGAAAAACTTGGGTTTTATTGCTCTGTCTAAAATATGCATATGTCCCCGACTTTAATTATTCTACGTAATACTGTCGATAACGTAACTATAATGCGTTGGTAATATACCGACACTTTCAGTTACGTTTAGAGGAGGGCGCTAACCCGTCGGGGTTCGCCCGTCGCTCCGGCATCCTCTTAATCTTTTTTACACGGGATGGGAGCAAATGCGACTTTTCGACTAGAAATGAGTGAGGGTTAATAAAGAATTATTTTGATTTTAAATTAACAAAGTATGAATTTATTCATATTTTAAAATAAATGGTGGATATACATAATGGTATAAAAATAGAAAATACATATAATATTGATTTCTTGGTGAGTATGTGTATGTGTGTATATTTTTTTAGTTCGCGGGTGTTACATGAATACGGAGGACATCAGTCAGAATACAAGGGAAAGATTCTATCGTTAACATTTAAGTTCTGATTGGTTAATACAATATAAAACATGTGTGTGTGTGTGTGTGTGTGTGTGCTACAAGTGATGGTCCATCGGATCCAAATCAGGAAGGATTGTCGTTATCAGTATTTTCTTCCGTTGAATCGAAAAGTAAGTTTTTGTACTTGTGTATTAGTGGATAACAACAATTCTGAATAATATATAGTCAATAGTCAGTATACATTTATAATAGAAGTGCAAAATGTGCAAGCAAGATGAAGAAAATTAATATTAATTTAATTTGGTTCTTATTTGTCATAGTGTAACGTTTTTATATTATCTATTACAGATCCGCCGAAAAAGAGAAAACGGATCGAAAACATTATGGAAGAATTTTTGGATAATATTGCGGCAGAAAAAGAAGAAAAAAAAGAAGAAATGAAAAAACGAGAAACAAACAGAGAAAAGATCCGTGAAGAAAATAGAAATAAACGTGACAGAAGACATAACGAGCAAATGGACGTACAGAAGTCATTAATTTCTGTATTGCAACAATTTCTTCACAAAATGTAATTTGTATTCTTCTAAGTTTGTAAGAAATAAGTTCAATTATGTTCATTAAGCGTTCTTTGTCGAAACGTTGAAAGTTGTTTATTTTATTTTAAGTTATTTTATATTAAGTAATTTATTTTACTTACGAATTTTAAGTTTGGATGTTAATCCTCAAAGTTGAATGTTATAATTTTGTTTTGTTCACAATTTATAATACACAAATGTAAGACTGAATAGAAATTAAGACTGAATAGGAATAAAACCAAAAACTAAATATAACCAATGCCTGTTTATTAACCAAAAATGTTTATTCATAAAAAAACAATTTAAAATACTTTGTATAAGTTTGTTAATTAATCTTATTTATAATTTTTATTATTAATAACCAAATATCAATTATTGATCAATTGACGAGCTTCATTTCTAATGTATTCATTATTCTCGTTCTTTTAGCATTTCCCATTTCAATGTTATTGCCGCAAATACGTGCTTGTAATTCATCATAATGTAACAACGAAGAGATTGCAATTACTGGAATTACTGGTTTGTTGACGTTTTGCATGGCGTCCATTTTCAAATCGTATTAACGCGCAGAGAGCATAAGCAACCGTTCCGAATAACTAAAGCGCTTCATGCGCATTGACAAAACGGAACGATGTTGAAGCGCTGCGCAATAATAATGCAGTCTATGCGTTTCATGCACAACTCGGAACGCACCCATAGCTGCACATGCGTAGCATAAGACCATCTGGACCAATGAGCATGCTATGTAAATCAATATGGCGATTTTATTTCGATGCTCATTGGTCCAGACGGTCTTATGCTATGCATATGCAGCAATGCGTGTGCGTGTGCGTGTGTGTGTGTGTGTGTGTGTGTGTGTGTGTGTGAAAGGAAATAAAGGATCATAGAGTGGGAGAATGAAGGGAGATTTTCTTAGTTTAATTTAGTCCTGATAGGACGAATCGGATTCTACGTCAGGTAGTTCATTCACAGAACTCCTATATGGTTTTTTCGAAGTCGTCTGACTCCGAAAGGTGAGGAGAAGGAGGGGGTGAATTACGGAAGATAATCGTCGATAAAAAAGAGAATAATCGCGGAGAGGATGGTGGTGCAGGAGAAAGGGGTTCGGGAGAATATACTGGAGAGTAGCTTGGTGAAAAATAGTAGGCGGAAAAAGGAGGGGTTGTAGGTTCAGTGGTTCGTGTTGGTATTAATTGTATTGTTAATTTTGAACTAATATTAGTGATGGTTTGTTCAGCGCAAAAGTTAAAATCTGCACGAACTCGAGTCTTCCGACTCCTGCGATTGACTTGGGGTGCGTTCCGAGTTACGCATAAAACGCGTAGACTGCATAGAAAGTCGTTCCGATTTAACCAATGCGCGCAATAAAAGCGCTTTGGTAGCGCTGAGAATTCCCTAGATTGTATTAACCGTACTGAATTCTTAGTACTCGTCCCAGCGCATTGACTGCTTCTGTTTTGACTTGAGGCAGTTGATGCGTCTAACGCGTTTATGCAATCTGAGCGTTTCTTGCGAAATTCGGAACGGATAACAAATTTTTCATTGCGATGGAACAGCAGTTGTACGAATTCCCGGTCCTCATAGAAGAAAGTAACGAAATAATAAATATAACCAATGCCTGTTTATTAACCAAAAATGTTTATTCATAAAAAAACAATTTAAAATACTTTGTATAAGTTTGTTAATTAATCTTATTTATAATTTTTATTATTAATAACCAAATATCAATTATTGATCAATTGACGAGCTTCATTTCTAATGTATTCATTATTCTCGTTCTTTTAGCATTTCCCATTTCAGTGTTATTGCCGCAAACACGTGCTTGTAATTCATCATAATGTTGGACGCCAACAGTCATTATATCATTTTGTAATATGCAAATATTATGTAACACGCAACATGCTATGATAAACTCTGGAATTTTTTTAACATCTGTCAGTGGTAGACAATCTAATAGTATTCTAAAACGAATTTCTAATTGTCCAATCGCACGTTCAACTGCCATCCTTGTTGACGATAGACAATAATTGAAATTTTTTTGTCGGTTTGACAAATGACCATTGTCTCTTAATGGGACCAATAAATGCGGATGTATTGCATACGCAGCATCTCCAATAATATGGGAATCATTAGGGAAGTATATGTCAGGCATTTCTAAAAAACGTGCTACTGGGGAGTTTCTAAAAACTCGAGCATCATGGATTGATCCTACTTGTCCTGCATAACAATGCGTGAAGAGGCCACGTGAATCACATACGACTTGAACATTTAAAGATGGAAAACCTTTCCGGTTTATATAAGAAGCTGAATCAATTGGTGGAGCTCGGATTTTAATAGGTGTTCCGTCTATGGCACCAATGACATTTGGAAAGCCACATGTCCTTTTGAAATGCTCCATGATATCGACGGCAACAACTTCTTTGGGCCACTGTATAAATCGAGGTGCGATGCAATGAAGCGCGTAGGTAACACGTCTTACAGCCCTAAAAGCAGTTGCTTTGCCTATTCCAAATTTGACGCAAACGGATCTGTAACAATACAGAAAAGTAAGCAATGAAAAGTTTGTCGTAAAACAATCTAATAATAGCGTTTTTCATTGGCCGCATTGATGCGCACTACATGATGGCATATTTTATTTTGATGCAGAAATTCGGCACTAGCTACAAGAAATGATGTCAGTTGAATGCAATGTAGCACTCAGTGTTGCTTAATGAAAAATGCTATAAATGTAATGATAGTTACACGAGTATATGTAGAGTACAGCTGAGTTTTACATACCTGTATGAATCAGGAGTAGCCATAAACCAAAGAGCAATATACAGTTGTTTCTCAGCTGGAATTGGTTTTTTACCAATTGTGGTACCTGTGGCATTTAGTGCTGGTCCAATTAATGATAAAATCATTACAAATGTAGCCGGATACAGCCTAGAATGTTAGGTTATGATATAAGTAAAATAAATTTAATAAAACCAGATGAAAATATTATAACTTTATAATTTAATGACATTTATGTTGAAACGCTTACCTAAAATGTTCTTTAAATATAGCATTCATGTAATTAGGAATCACGCGATCAACATAATCCGTGATTTTTTCAAGTGTAATTTTTTCTCCACGTGATTTATCTGTCATTAATATAAAAAATATAGTCTGCATATCACTTAGAGATATATCTTCAACTTTATTTTCACTGTCGCTCGATTCGGAACTATCGCTTTCATCGTTTTTCTTCAAAAGTAACAACGAAGAGATTGCAATTACTGGAATTACTGGTTTGTTGACGTTTTGCATGGCGTCTATTTTCAAATCGTATTAACGCGCAGAGAGCGTAAGCAACCGTTCCGAATAACTAAAGCGCTTCATGCGCATTGACAAAACGGAACGATGTTGAAGCGCTGCGCAATAATAATGCAGTCTATGCGTTTCATGCACAACTCGGAACGCACCCTTGATATAAATCGCTGGATCGCAAAGTATAGGTTTTGCCCGACCTGGTTTTCACTACGGAACCAATGCAAATATATCATAGTAATGTTACGTCCTGGCGACTCCACGATTCCTCCCTTCTGCGAAGTTGCGGCAATGATAATCGATCGGTGATAGAAATGAGTCGTTCGGTAAATACAGCATCTTGCGTCACACATTCCTTAAACATTTAGTCACTTGTCAATATCTATATCTACGAGTAACCGTGGGGAAGACGTGAAAGACCGGTGACGAAACCGCGCCGGTCGCCTAAAAATAAATAAAAATCAGTAGAGACCTTCGCAATAGAATTTTCAAACGGAATAATAAACTGATACCGAAAAGATAATAAAATTCTCGCAAAATATCTGACGAATACAACTAAATCAATAATGACGAAACTTCTGTGACGACATATTCAGTAACGACAGAAAGTAATCAGATCACGTGCGTAAGGGAAACCTAGAGCTCAAGGGATTCTGAACTGATCACCAATCGGACACATCGGACACGAGTGAAAATTCGAAAAGTAGGAGAAACACCCCGCCTAATGAGGACACTGTACTTGCTCTCCAGCTTCAATATAGTTTTATTAAGTGCCTTAGCACCGTGGTATGCGAATTATAATAAATAGTGCTATACCAGTGTCCTCATCCGGCATCATCGCTGGTCAACCGCATCAACCAGAGCGACCCGCAAGGCACGAAGCCAGTTTATTAATACAACCTGCACCTTCCATCTACGAGATAAAAAGTAAGTCACACTAATCCATTTCATTTATACTATTAACTCTCGCGATAAATAAGCGCTACATTACACTCACTCTGGTTTCGTAGAGAAAACCAGATCCGGTACCCGGGATAATAAAAGATAGTTGTTGCGCCCTTCGGTCGACTCATCCTTCCCCGAGTCTGGACGTAACATACTGCTCTTTAAATTTTGGGGGCTAGAGTCCTTTAGGACGCGGAGACCAAAGCGGTCTTACGGTACAAACAGCTCGCGGTATATACAAAACGGTCTTACGGTATAACGCGGTACGGACTTATCAACTAGCAGGAGGCGCCGTCCCAGCAACCGAGAAGCCCGGCCTAACTACGGGAAGCCCATAGCCTGGTGTAACGCCATTTTAGAGACATATAGAAGTTCGGGAAACGTGTTATCTGACCAAAGTATTAAAGCATCATTAGAAAAAGACATGTGCAAATGTTTTATTAGAGGTCTAAAATCAAAAATCGAGCAACGAGTTTCAAGAAACTTACCAGATGTACAATCAACTGCAGCCGACGCTATAAGGATAGAGAGAGAACTCCGAGCAACGGTAATTTGTCAATGCTGCGAAAGACCCGACCATTCCGCAAATAATTGCTGGAAGAAACAGAATGAACAACGTTATACGGGAAATAAAACTCGCGTAACTTGTCAAATTTGCAACAACTTGGGACACATTGCTAAAGATTGTCGATCAAAACTAAACCAGCAAATGGGATCCAGGAATTCTTTATTCTGCCGCTATTGCAAGGAGCAAGGTCATCTTCTCGAAAATTGTCAATTACGCAATTCGCAATCCAAATCATTATTTTATGTAAGAATAGAAAATCCTGAACTAAAAGTAGGATATATACCAAGACTAAAGGTGGCACATGGAATTTATTTGGGAGACACCATCGTGGAGAACGTTGCCGGAAAGGCATATTTAAATGTTATAAGTACTTTAGATGAAGAGGCGGAAGTACATGTTCCGACTTTGCGCCTAAAACCATTGAGCGAATTATTAGACGACCATGACTCAAAAATTGAGGCTCTAAATAGTTCAAAAGAACCGAGGAATAAGGAAGAAGAAACTACTTACGGATTCGACGATTATGAAAATAATATGAATATTGAAAATGAAGGTGAAAATGTGGATGAAAAAAATATTATTATCGAAGAAATTAATTACGAAGACGAAGAACAAACCCTAAATAAAGAAGGAAATAAAAATAAGAATAAAATTAAAAATAAAGAAATGATAAAAAATAAAACTGAGAGGAAAAATAAAGAATTGAATAATTCAAAAATCTTTGGAGAGGGAAATTACCAAACCTCTTCTGAAAATCTAATAAATCCAACCATTCCTGGAGGGGGAAATTACCAAACCTCTCCTAAAAATTTAATTAATTTAAAAACCCTCGAAGAGAGAAATTACCAATCCTCTCAAGAAGGGAATAATTCTAGGATTTCGGAGGGAAATTTCCAAACCTTGTCAGAAAATCCTAGAACTAAAAGTAGGATATATACCGAGACTAAAGGTGGCACATGGAATTTATTTGGGAGACACCATCGTGGAGAACGTTGCCGGAAAGGCATATTTAAACGTTATAAGTACTTTAGATGAAGAGGCGGAAGTACATGTTCCGACTTTGCGCCTAAAACCATTGAGCGAATTATTAGACGACCATGATTCAAAAATTGAGGCTCTAAACAGTCCAGAAGAACCAAGGAATAAGGAAGAAAAAACTTACTTACGAATTCGACGATTATGAAAATAATATGAATATTTAAAATGAAGGTGAAAATGTGGATGAAGAAAATATTATTATCGAAGAAATTAATTATGAAGACGAAGAAAAAACCTTAAATAAAGAAGGAAATAAAAATAAGAATAAAATTAAAAATAAAAACAGGATAAAAAATAAAACTGAGAGGAAAAATAAAGAATTGAATAATTCAAAAATCTTTGGAGAGGGAAATTACCAAACCTCTTCTGAAAATCTAATAAATCCAACCATTCCTGGAGGGGGAAATTACCAAACCTCTCCTAAAAATTTAAGACCCGCCAAAATCAGAATCATTGCGATTAGAACATTTAAATGAAACAGAAAGAAAGAGCATTACAAAATTAATAACGGACTGCCAAGATCGATTTCATATATTCCTGGAGAAAAATTAACCGCAACTCACGTATTACAACATCGAATACCTACTACAGATGACCAACCAATAAACACTCGTCAGTATCGATTTCCGCAAATTCATAAAGAGGAAATAAACAAGCAGGTAGAAGAACTGTTAGAAGGAGGAATTGTTAAACACTTTATCTTTCTTTACTGACTATTCGAATTTATATTTTACTCACTGACCGTTAATATTGAACTTTCCTGACCGTATCTGTTTATTTTATTTTTTAATTTTTTTATCACTGAAGAGAGTCTAGTCGTGGACTGAAACGTTAACGTTTGGAATTGTTTATTTGCGACCTGCATTATATTTATTTTTATTTTAATTGTTAAGACTGGCGCCTATTATTTATCTCCGTAAGTTGTTTATATTTGCTTGATGTTTGCGTGCCTTTTAAGAGGATGCCGGACTGTCCTGTTTTACCGGCCATAATAATTATATTTTTGCAAACCGAAATTTTTTTATTGGTTACATGAAATGAGAAATCCTTTTCCACGATTAAAGTATATACATCAACAAAGTGGGAACCTTGCGATTTTATGTTAAAAACAAAGAAAAGCTAAAAAATTACAGTTTTTTTATCGGCTCCTTGCGTCAGATCGTAACAATATTTGCTTAATATAAAAGTTTTGCAGCTTGTATGTACAAAATAAGATAAGTTCCCACCCGGAAATGCAGGAAAGAATATAAGGGAACGTTAAAAATGTATTTAGAAGCCTAGTAAAAAACATTCCGGTGTGCAAAATTTTTGTGCATATGTGTGCGTGCTAAATCGAGGTACAAGAGTAAAACAGAGCAGTGGATTAGTTGCCTGATGTCACGATAGACGGTGCTACAATTCGTTTGTGTGACAAGGACAGACAATAGTACTATCTTTGTCTGTTTCATGCATGTGATAATAATATACATGTAAGCACTAACATTATAGCAGTTTCTCGTATCTCCTTTCTCTCGATCGTACGCTCATTCTGTCTCTTTCTAATCGCTCGCTCACAATGTATCGCTCAGCTTCATGCTTCTTTCGCATATTCGCTTACATGTTCACTCGCGCTTCTCCTCCCTCTCTCTCTCTTTCTCTCCCTTTCTCTCTCTCTCTCTGCTCTCTATTGCTCTCTCAATTCATTATTATATTCTTTTATTCGTATGACTTTATTCTTTCTGTTTTCTCGTCTCCCTACATAAAAATAAATTAATTTATGCATTTTCATTTAATAGAGCATACATGAAATACGCAATAAGTTACTTTCTCTTTCTCTATTTTGCTAAATAAATCTAAATAATATACTCTATAATATATTTTTCACATTTGCTTTAAAAATAATCTTTATGACATTTGATTATTACTTACAGCTATTTATAAATAGAAAAAAATTATAATTTCATTATTATAATTTATAAATGGAAAAAAAGTTCGATGTATTTTATCTACATTTATTCATGTTATCAAACTTGTATGTAAAGTTATATTCAAATAAAACACTTCATTTGGACATTCGGACGATAAATATATATATTATAAGCTTTGTATATATTTATAAGCTTGTCTATATTTATAAAAAAGCAGATTTTTCTTAAAGCAATAATTATGAATTTTATTTTTACATTATATGTCGAAATAATTTAGTTATTCTGCCAACATGCATATTTGATAATATAAACCAATAAAATATCTACCGAACTTTGTTTTCGATTCGTAAACTAATGAACTGTAAATTATGATGAATAGTAGTAAAGATTATTTTTACTGCAAATGTAAAGAATACATAAAAATTGTCATTATATTATATAGAGACATATATTTCTTAATACAGAATAACAAAACAGAGAAATAAATCAAGTAAAATCCGAGTAAAAAGGCAAAAGAGCCACGCGCAGTTTTTAGGGCGCAAAGGTATATAATTTAAACCAAAAAATAAATTAAAAAATTAGAGAATTTCTTTAATTATTATTTTAATTATATACCTTTTTAATTATATACCTTAAATTATATACCTTTGCGCCCTAAAAACTGCGCGTGGCTCTTTTGCCTTTTTACTCGGATTTTACTTGATTT